TCCACGCAACTCTGTATGCAATTATGTAAAACTTCCCAAAGACCAAACATAAAAATAAGACATTTATATTCCACCAAGCGTCCATTTCTTTAAGTACAGCTTTTACATAATGTATGCTATACTGAAATTATATTCAAGTACAATACAGGATGTTTCAAAGTCAAAGTTCCATCCAAACATTCCTTCGTTCAATAAAGGGAAAAGCAACTCTACAAGTATACTTGTTGCTAAAGGATAAACTACAGTTGCAAGATCTTGGGTATACAATAACTATGTCCCAATGGGAAAATTTGTGGAAAAACAATTGGAAGTTCACAGCTTGCTATACCCTAAGAGAGAATTTTTTAAAAATGCAACACTGATGGTATTTAACGCCCTGGAAACTTTCTAAGATGTATAAAAGTGTCACAGGTGATTGCTGGAGATGTGGAGAAAAACCAGGCACTCTATACAATATGTGGTGGCAATGCAAGAAAATTGATGTGTTCTGGGAGGATATCCATTTAGCATTGCAAAAAAATGCTAAAAATTTCCTTCAATAGAAAACCAGAGGCTTACCTTCTGGGGATCACAGATTTCGATATCCCCCCCCCCAAAAAAAATAAAGGATATCTTTTTATACACTACGGTCGCAGCAAGAGTTCTAATTGCTAGGACTTGATGATCAGAAGGTTGGCGGTTCGAATCCCCACAACGGGGTGAGCTCCCGTTGCTCAGTCCCTGCTCCTGCCAACCTAGCAGTTCAAAAGCACGTCAAAGTGCAAGTAGATAAATAGGTAAATGGTGTTTCCATGCGCTGCTCTGGTTCACCAGAAGCGGCTTAGTCATGCTGGCCACATGACCCGGAAGCTGTATGCCAGCTCCCTCGGCCAATAAAGCGAGATGAGCACCGCAACCCCAGAGTCGGCCATGACTGGACCTAATGGTCCAGGGTCCCTTTACCTTTACCTTTAGGTATGTTTTATGTTATGAAAATAAGGTAGTGTGTTGTGTATGTGCATTGTATAAATGTAAATGTATGTGTTTTATATGTTAATTAAAAAAATCAAAAATCAAATAGAGTTGAAAAGGCACTCTGTTCCACTGTGGTTTGAGTGATTGAGAGCAAAGCTACAACACTCCTAGGGTGTGGTCAGTTTTCCCCGGTCTGTGGATCATCCTTTAGCAACAAGTAGCAACAAGAGATTCTCCAGGAAATGATTTCAGCAGCACAAATATTCATGTTTCCTATGTAATACAGTGGTTCCTCAGGTTACATACGCTTCAGGTTACAGACTCCGCTAAACCAGAAATAGTACCTTGGGTTAAGAACTTTGCTTCAGGATGAGAACAGAAATCGTGCTCCAGCGGCCCCATTAGCTAAAGTGGTGCTTCAGGTTAAGAACAGTTTCAGGTTCTCCAGAACGAATTAAGTACTTAACCCGAGGTACCACTGTATCAGCATTCACTGAGACTTCCCCCTCACAGCTGTGGGCTTGCTAGAGAGACGTGTAGGTCTGGCCATGTGCAAAATGCCTTTGTTTCACCACTGTGTACTGAGTAGCCATTTTTGTGTAAAACTATAACACATCTGATGTAATGTGCAAACTGGCACAGAAACCACCTAGATAATTCATTCTGATGTGAACTTTGAACCGGGGACTTCTGGGCTCAGAGTCTTAGCTACTACTCTACATCAACTGTTCTACAAACTTTCACGACAGATCAGTCTTTTTTCATATTGTTTATTCTCATACCCCTCATTTATTCTCATAATCTTACTTCCATTGATGCAACAGTTCCAACAACTTGTCACATTCTGTTACATTCAGTGTATAATCTTTAGCATGGCCCAAACCTATAGCATCACAACTACTTTTCATTCAGTTTCTTTTCTTTACATAATTTATTAATGAAGAGCATAATATTTTTATACAACACAAACTATGATAGGGACAACGAGGCTGTGTGTGCAACTAACCTCAGCAAAGGCTTTAAGGGACATGACTCATGAGTTCCATAATAATTTTCTGTTTTAAGAGAAGACAATTTCCATGTATGTATGGCTTTGCGTGGACAAATGTTTGCAAGTTCATTCTGTGTGGTTCCAAAACATTGCCACTACTGAGCAATAATAGATTTTTCATGTGTGCTTTCACAGTGTTCACAGTAATTTCCCTAAGTTAGTCTCAGGGACTGGGCAGAGGAAGAATAGTCGAGACCGTCTCCCAATCCTGACCCTTCCAGGGAAGAGGAAGAGGAAGACAGTATAGATTTACAACAGGGGTTTGAGGGAGGTAGCAGCTCAGAGGCAGATGAGGGGGAAAGCTGGGAAATAATGGGAGAGGAGGAGGCAGAACCAGAGCAGCAGTTGGCTGACACGTCGTCATTAGAAAGCACCCCAGACCCTCCATCTCCCAGAACCTGGCGAGCCTTGAAAGTAGGAGAGCAAAGAGCTCAAAGACAGAGGACACGTAGCAGCACCCATAGAAGTGATGAGTGAGGAAGTGGGAGAGACGGGGTGTGTGTATGTAGAGATTCACCCGGGACAACGCCATTATCCAAGAGGCTGGGTTCTATAGCCTCTGTCTTTGAAGACTGAAATAAAAAAAGGTAAGAAACTTTTCATTGTCTTTATACTTTCCTGGGCAACGAACTGGAAGCTGCTGACAGCATCCTGACAATTAGGGCTGCAAGCCTGTTGTCCCTACATGGGTAGAAAAGTAAAGAGAGACACCCCACACCTTTGGTCTCCTACCAGGCCAACCCCATGCAGCTGGGCATAGCAGTGAACCAGTGCATTCATCTCTAACTTCCTCTGAACTGCGTTCAGTGGCTCATTCTTCCTCAGATGCTGTGTCCGACTCCTCTCCTGCTTCCACCAGGAGACACATCTTTGTACTAGGGCTCTGAGGAAGAACAAGCTGCCGGATACAAGACCTCACCTTGGAGAGCACAGGGAGATTGCAATACTGCATGCCTAACAGCCCAATGGCCAGCAGAGAAGTAATCTGGTGAGGAAGGGAGAGCTATACCGTTTTTATGGGGTGCCTTAGCATCTTCCAAGATAGCCTGCCTTGTCATTCTGAAAATGGACTTACCATGTGAGTGCTGCAATCATTACTTGAAAAACATAATGATGAGAACCCATGCTAGGTCTTTGTACCTTTTATTATCCCAAAGTCTCAAAGTTGAGAGTTGCTAACTCAACTATCCATATACCTCTGTGCCATTCTAGGTCATTCCAGTGGACCACCAGTGGCCTCAGGATCACAGTGGAGATATCGTTTCCTGGACCTGGAACCTGACACCTGGTAATCATTGGCAGACCTGTCTCCACATGTTCACCCAATCTGTTGGGGGTGGGCTAACCTTTATACTCATTTGCATCATAGCATCTTATGGTAGATTGCTTGTGAAGTACTACGTTCTTTTAGACTGGAGATAGACCGTTATTTTTCAAGAGCTGAAAGTGATCTGAGAGAAGCTTCATTTCTTATAGTATTACTTTTGTTCTATTATTGACATGGATCAAGCAGGTTTTTGAAGCAATACCTAAACTTGCAAGACATGTTTCAGTAGAGAAAAAAGAAGGGCCAGGGCACATATTATGGGCAGTGCTCCCTCTTAACATGATCAGCTCTGAAATATTGTCTGACTCCGGTTCTAGATAAACTGAATATTACTGATCACCATGTTTTATGGAAGCTAGGGGAGAAATGCTACGTGCTTCCTCCTACTACACAGAGGAGCATGGTCAAGTCAGCTTCTCATGCTGCTGCCCCATGAACACTGAAGAAAGTCAGGCCCACCAACAGAGACAGGGAAGAAGAGCAGGGAGCTGGATTCCTATGAGTCTTCTCTAAATGAGAGGTGAACTCAGCATCTTAAAGACAAATATGTAGCAATCCTTCACTCCGGCCAGTTCAACAGAAGATTTCTCGCTTACATTGGAAGACTCCATTATTTAAGTGGCAGAAGAAGAAAAAGAGTTTGGATTTGATATCCCGCTTTATCACTACCCTAAGGAGTCTCAAAGCGGCTAACAATCTCCTTTCCCTTCCTCCCCCACAACAAACACTCTGTGAGGTGAGTGAGGCTGAGAAACTTCAGAGAAGTGTGACTAGCCCAAGGTCACCCAGCAGCTGCATGTGGAGGAGCGGGGAGGCGAACTCGGTTCACCAGTTTACGAGTCCACCGCTCTTAACCACTACACCATGCTGGCTCAGAAAAATGAGCTAGTCTAGCTCAACTGGAAGGCACATGAAGACCAATGTCCATTGCCTATGGAGTTCACTGGAAGTCCTTTCTATTGCAACAAAATACTTTAGAATGGATATCCATGACAATTGTCAATGTTATTTTGTCAAATTCTTTGTTTTGTTTTGTAGATCCATCTATTCTATTCTTCACCAACAGCAGTGGAGGTTCTGGTTTCTGAAAGGAGTCAACCATTTAGTTTCTTAAGTGTTCCTACATCATCCCCTTGCGAATCTTGATAGTGGGGTTCTTAAACTCTCCACAGCCCATGATGTACTCTGGAACTGTTAGAAACTCCAAAGGCAGCTTTTCCATTGCTTTGAAAGATGCCTTCATTTAGAATAAGGGCTTCCTCTGCATGTCTGTATAAGGCTAACCTCTGTGCTGCTGGTGGGACACGAAGCATGATAAGATGTGTCTCTTTCTTGGGATGACAATTCTCTTGTATAGAACTAATGTTGGCTGCAACCCGAATTGCACTGAAGTCAACAGCAGAATTTTCCTTTATTCTAATGGAACTAGATTGCTTGCAGAAGGGAGGATGGGTAACCCTGATATTTTCAGACGTGGATTTTCATTTGAAAACCAATGAAGAAATGCAAAGCATCAAATTGCCTCCAGCTGAGACTGCTACTCTAACTCTGCTTTTCCGTCTTTGCAAACCAAATGTGATATTTTAGAAAACCCAGTTCTTTCGTTTCATAACTTAGGTGCAAGGAGCAATTTCTTAAATATAGTTCACTCACAAAATAAAGTTATTCTTTGCTGTACAGAACTTTTCTATCATTAGGGATAAACCTGATGCAATATTAGGTGCGCTTGTATCTTGTATATAAATGCACACGCCCTTACATGAACACACTCAAACACCTTGACACACATGCTTGCCAGGCACCAAATTGATAGCTATATGAACAAACCATGAACCTTCCCATCCCCCCATACATTTTTTGGCAGTGTCAAAAATGCCTCCCATGTCAATTATTTTCTGTCACTCATTGCAAAATAATAATAATAATAATGTTCATTTATTAGTTTAAATTGCTCTCACTCTCACATGCCCAGATCTAATTGACTTCATTCTGATATCAACCTGTTCACTGTGTGATTCTGATAAGGTGGGTTCACTTCTGTGATTAATCCAGGAAGGAGAAAGAAATAGCAACCAAGGAAGAAATGATAGCAATGCAGAAACCGCAGAAACCACCAGAAGGAACCACGTTGCCAAAAAGGATTGCAAAATGTGCAAATTATTGAAAATTATCTAAGTTTTTTTGTTCCCCAGAAGGGTAGTCCACCCAAATGAGGAACTTTTGTTTCAGCCCCAAAGTACAAAGTGGGAAATATTGCTTGCCTATCTAGTCTAAGCCTAAAGTACTGCTTTTTGCAACTTGCCTTCAAGACAGCCTTAAATAAAACACAGGGGGGGGGAGAGTTTTTGTCTTCTTTCATGCATTCCTTGACACTTCAAAATTTAAAACTCAGTTTCAAAAAGTCGTTCCACAAATGGGTTCGCGAAAGGAGAACGGAGTTTTGAATTCTTCCTTCACAAATGTTCCTGCTTTCCGCTGAATTTTTCAAATGGGAAACGAAGCTAGCCATTTCAAAATCCTTTCCTCTTCTTCTCTCCAGGTGGCACCTGCAGTGAGCCCAGCCCTGGTCTGTTCAGAGCCTCAAATGCCTCAAGATGTGAAGTAGGAGCTCTGCATGGAGTACAGGTGGTCAATGGGGTTCCCCACTCTGGACTGCAAGGGCCCAGCTTCCACAGTTGTTAAGAAACAGTCGCCCAGGTTGCTGAGGGAGGTGTCGTCACTGTCCATCTCACACAAAAGGTGCTCAGAACCTTCAGAACAGAGAAAAAGATTTGTTCCACTCAGGCACATCCACTCACACAACACTGAAATGAACGGGAGCTGCTTGGGTGCAGAGTCGGGCTCTTGCGCCATTCTTCTTAATGGCTCTTGCACGTGAGAACTTCTTTCAGAAGTGCCATCAGAATTTTGACTAAGCCACTCTCATGTGTTTGAGGTAGCTAAACAGACATACAATCTGAATCAAGGATCTAGACAAGGCATAGGCAAACTCTGGCCCTGCAGGTGTTTGGGACTACAATTCCCATCATCCCTAGCTAACAGGACCAGTGGTTAGGGATGATGGGAATTGTAGTCCAAACATCTGGAGTTTGTCTATGCCTGATCTAGATGGAAACCAGACACATTTAAAATCTCAAGCTCCACTAGCTTAAGCCTGGAAGCCCAAGCCCAGCACGGATATTGTCTTAGAGGGCTATGGGCTCTTGACATCCTAAATTCACGTTGCTTAGTCCGTCTGAGACGTTGCAATGGGACATAAAGAAAGAAGCCGTTTCAAACTCTGACTCAATTTACAGCTCCCTCAAAATGTGCAATGTGCAGGGTTTCCGTTCTTACCATAAGGGTGCATGTGGTCTCCTGGCATTTGTGGTGGAGTGAGCCCTTGCCGGAAGGGGTCTGAGCTGTAAACACTTTGATCAATGACCAATACTTGTTGTGGAGGTGGTTGCAAGGTGGTATAAGAGTTCATGATTCCTTCAAGGCCTGTGTTGTTGCCACTGTTTGTCTGAGCTGGAAGAAAATGGCAAATAAAATGCATGAGTTCATAAGATCAGTCTCCCAATACCTTATTATTTCACTTATGTCAGCAAGACCTGGCTCTTATCTGTCTTCTATACTGGTGCCTTTTTTCTTAATGAACTTTTTTCTTGAATTTCCAGTCCCAGGAGGTGTGAACTCTTTCCCAGCTCCCCTATTTTCAAAGCCATACCCAACTAACCCATATACGACTTCTCGTTTTTTTCAGTCTTGGAATAAATGAATTAAACCATCAGTCGACTCAAATATATGAGCTGCTTAAAGGGTCACAGCCAGCCAGACCTACATATTATCAAGTTCATGAAAAATATAACTATAAGCTCCTTTGGAACTGGGATGCCAAGTTCACTGTAAGACAGGACTCCTGTATGGTGGTGAAGAAGAAGAAGAAGAAGAAGAAGAAGAAGAAGAAGAAGAAGAAGAAGAAGAAGAAGAAGAAGAAGAAGAAGATTTGAATAACATGTGAAATGTATGCAGACATGGAAATTAAGAAGTCTGGTATCTGCTTTCTTTGGGGGAAAACACTTTTAAAGAACCAGATCAATGCAGATTGGAGGAATGCTGTGGACATAGAATATTGTGATATCAGCAAGGCTTTTAACAATTTCCCATATGATATTCTAATCTAGTTAGCAAGCTAGTAAAATGTGGTCAAGATGATGCTTCTGTTTGGTGAATGTGTAGCTGGTTGATGGTCCATTCAGCTAAAGAGCGATAACAACAATAACAATAACAATATTTATACCCCACCCATCTGGTTGGGTTTCCCCAGCCACTCTGGGCGGCTTACAGCACATTAAAAAATTGTAAAAGATTAGACATTAAAAACGTCCGTAAACAGGGCTGCCTTCAGGTGTCTTCTAAAAGTCAGATAGCTGTTTATTTCCTTGACATCTGATGGGAGGGCATTCCACAGGGCAGGTGCCACTACAGAGAAGGCCCTCTGTTGTACAGAATGGAATTTTTTTTTTTCATGTTCAACCCCCTTCTCTCCCCCCCCCTTTCTCTCTTTCTTTCATTCTTTGACATTCAAAAGAACCCTCAACATGTTCAGTCTTAGAGTCAATCCAGAAAAGATGCTGAAAGATAAATGTATGGATATCAGACTTGGTTTTTTTTGGGGGGGGGGGGTTAGTTCAATACATCTGAGGGGGTTTGGAGACATTGGATCAGGAGACTCCTCTGCTTTTTGTCTCACAGAAGGAAGTGTACACACTTTAAAGTAGATGGATGGCGGCTAACAGATTGAGGTTGAATCCTGACAAGACAGAAGTACAGTGGTACCCCGCAAGACGAACGCCTCGCGAGACGAAAAACTCGCAAAACGAAAGGTTTTTTCGTTTTCGAGTTGCCTCGCAAGACGAATTTCCCTATGGGCTTGCTTCGCAAAACGAAGCTTGCCCCGGGGACAGCGGGTCTTCTCTTTTGAAGCAAGGGGCGGCGGGGAGATCGCTTCTCCCCACCGCCCCTTGCTTCAAAAGAGGTCTGCCCCCGGACCTCTTTTGAAGCAAGGGGCTGCGGGGAGATCGCTTCTCCCGGTGCTCCGAAGCGGGGTGGGGGGCGGGAACACCTGCCCCAGCCGCCGGGCTTCGTAGCGCTGCTGCGAAGCCGGGCGAGGGGGCGGGAACACCTGCCCCAGCCACCCCGCTTCGGAACGCTGCTCCGAAGTGGGGTGGGGGGGCGGGAACACCTGCCCAGCCGCCGGGCTTCGTAGCGCTGCTGCGAAGCCGGGCGGGGGGCGGGAATACCTGCCCCAGCCACCCCGCTTCGGAACGCTGCTCCGAAGTGGGGGGGGGCGGGAACACCTGCCCCAGCCACCCCGCTTCGTAGCGCTGCTGCGAAGCCGGGCGGGGGGCGGGAACACCTGCCCCAGCCACCCCGCTTCGGAACGCTGCTCTGAAGCGGGGTGGGGGGGCGGGAACACCTGCCCCAGCCGCCGGGCTTCGTAGCGCTGCTGCGAAGCCGGGCGGGGGGCGGGAACACCTGCCCCAGCCGCCGGGCTTTGTAGCGCTGCTGCGAAGCCGGGCGGGGGGGGGGGGCGGGAACACCTTCTGAAGGCGGGCGGGGGGCGAAAGTCTTTGTCCCCCCTGCCTGCCTTCCCAGGGGCTTTTAAATCGCCCCGGACAGCGGAGAAGTCCTCCGCTGTCCCGGGGCGATTTTAAAATGCCGCCCGCCAGCATTTTAAGATCGCCCGGACAGCGGAGAAGTCCTCCGCTGTCCCAGGGTTTTTTAAAATGCTGGGGGTGGGAAGAAAAGCCCTTGTCCCCCCCCCCAGCCTTCAGAAGAGGTCCGGGGACAGTCTGTCCCCGGACCTGGTCTGAAGGCGGTTTCCCTAGGAACGCATTAATTGATTTTCAATGCATTCCTATGGGAAACCGTGCATCGCAAGACGAAAAAACCGCAAGACGAAGAGACTTGCGGAACGAATTAATTTCGTCTTGCGAGGCACCACTGTACTGTTTTGGGGGGACAGGGGGTGGGCAGGTGTGGGGGACTCCCTGGTCCTGAATGTGGTAACTGTGCCCCTGAAGGACCAGGTGCACAGCCTGGGAGTCATTTTGGACTCACAGCTGTCCATGGAGGCGCAAGTCACTTCTGTGTCCAGGGCAGCTGTTTACCAGCTCCATCTGGTCCGCAGGCTGAGACCCTACCTGCCCGCAGACTGTCTCGCCAGAGTGGTGCATGCTCTAGTTATCTCCCGCTTGAACTACTGCAATGCACTCTGCGTGGGGCTACCTTTGAAGGTGACCTGGAAACTGCAATTAATCCAGAATGTGGCAGCTAGACTGGTGACTGGGAGTGCCCGCCAAGACCACATAACACTGGTCCTGAGAGATCTGCATTGACTCCCAGTATGTTTCTGAGCACAATTCAAAGTGTTGGTGCTGACCTTCAAAGCCCTAAATGGCCTCAGTCCAGTATACCTGAAGGAGTGTCTCCACCCACATCGTTCATCCCAGACACTGAGATCCAGCGCCAAGGGCCTTCTGGTGGTTCCCTCATTGCAAGAAGTGAGGTTACAGGGAACCAGACAGAGGGCCTTCTTGCTAGTGGCGCCCGCCCTGTGGAACACCCTCCCTTCAGATGTGAAGGAAATAAGCAGCTATCTTATCTTTAAAAGACATCTGAAGGCAGCCCTGTTTAGGGAAGTTTTTAATATTTAATGCTGTATTAACACTCAATTGGAAGCCGCCCAGAGTAGCTGGGGAAACTCAGCCAGATGGGCGGGGTATAAATAATAAATTATTATTATTATTAAAAGGAGTGACTAAGATCAGGAAAAGAACACAGGAAGGGTTTCCCACAGCTGCTTTTCCATGTCGCCTCACCCACTCTGTGGCTGCTTTGAACAGAGAGAGAGAGAGAGAAGGAGAATCTTCAGAAGACCCAGTCATGGATCTCCCAGTGCCTTGTTTTCATTGGCCCTTAATTCCTCTTATCATTAAACTAGATGTGTTCAGTGCTCAGGGTGGGAGTTGAGTAGCATCATGCAAAAGAGGGGCCGTTGTGCTAGAAGAGTGATCTAAGCATGGAAAGAAGAGTTGAGATGGGAAGCATGTTCAGCCCTGTATAGTAAGGGGAAACTGGGAAGCAAAGCTACGGACTGAAAAAGCTATGGAGATTACAGTGGAAAACCCACGACAATCTGAGGAGAGTTCCCAGGTAGGACATGGCAGCTGAGATGTCCTAGGAGCCAAGGAGAAGTGAATCATAACTTCTCCGTATCAATATATTCTAGTTTTTCAAGGTAACACGCAAGAACTGAGTGTTGACGAAACCATGGGATAAGTCAAATCGATATTGTGGGGAGGACCATAGCTGATCATGGCATGCTATTAAAGTCTCTGAGGAAATGAAATCTTGCCCATTGCAGAGGACTGGTTCACTGGCCGCCATATATTGTTGATGCCCTCCCTCCTTCAGCGTGGCATATTCTGCCTTCTGGCTCAAGTAGGATGCACAGAACCTGCATTTGAAAGAAGGGGAGCTAGGAAAGTATTTGGTCCTCCTGTCCAGCAACTTCTGGTGCCTCCATGGAAAGAGAATCCACTTTCCATTTTCAGAATCCTGGCTGTAGGTGGTGGAGTTTCAAGGGAGAGGGAACTGGCAGGTCCCGTGACAGAAGCGAGTTAGGAGACAGGCTTACCAGAAGTGAGCCTCTGTGTTGTTTGCTGATCTTGCTGTTGCTGCTGCTGTCGTCTTGCTAATTTCTTCATCTGTTACAGAAAGGGAGGAAAGGTTAGAACCAGCAAATATCCCCTCCTCTTCTTTTCCTAAATGGTGGAAAAGCACCCACAGGGTTAGCAGATGCATGATGCTGCCGTTATACTCTGATAGTTCTTAAGATGGGCTGAGAGAGAGAGCCCTGTCTGAGGGAGCCACTTCTGCCCTAAGGAGGAGGTGGGGTTGCTTCACGGCCCCTCCACACGCGTGGTGGGTGAAGACCAGCCCCTGCGCAATTGGGGGGATTCCTGGCCATGTCACCCCCTGCCCGGCCAATCGGCTGGTTCAGGGGGCGTGGCCTACCCTATAAAGGCAGGATGCAGCCAGGGATCTCCCTCGCTGCCGCTCGCCAGCTGTTCCTGCTTTTCCCACCCTCCTGCCCTATAAAATTTCATTCTTTGACCTTGCTATGGACCTTGGTTGGTCACCGTTGAGGGGCCTGGTAGGAATTTTTCCACTTGGCAAATTGGCACCAGCCACTTGGTTTTCACCTAAAAGGTAAAGGGACCCCTGACCATTAGGTCTAGTCGTGGCTGACTCTGGGGTTGCGGCGCTCATCTCGCTTTATTGGCTGAGGGAGCCGGCGTACAGCTTCTGGGTCATGTGGCCAGCATGACTTCTGGTGAACCAGAGCAGCACACGGAAATGCTGTTTACCTTCCCACCGGAGCAGTACCTATTTATCTACTTGCACTTGGACGTGCTTTCAAACTGCTAGGTTGGCAGGAGCAGGGACCGAGCAATGGGAGCTCACCCCGTCGCAGGGGATTCAAACCGCCGACCTTCTGATCAGCAAGTCCTAGGCTCTGTGGTTTAACCCACAGCGCCACCCGCATCCCCTGCCTCATAGTTTTCACCTACCTCGTAGCAAATCATCACAACTTTTCGGGTACTGGCGGTTAGGCATTGGTATAGTTCTGTAGATGGAAGAGGGAAGGTAGCGCCATCACCTGCCCCGCATATTGAAGGGTAGTCCATTAAAGGATTCCAGGGGGGGCGTGACACTGTCCAAAGCCTAGGGAGCTTAGGACCTAAGGCACGCCCCCTAGCAGTGACCCCGGGGGAAGTTCCTAGTTGATGTGCATCAGCAGGACTCCCCCTATTGGTGGTTAACCCTTCCCGGACTTCGAGCAGACGGGCTGAAGTCGGATATAGTCAGTTAGGACCAATGCCTAAGCCAATACTGCTCATCACCTGTAACCAATAAAGTTGTGGGCTTTTTTAGCCCATTAACCTTAATAATTGTGTCATGATTTCCACCTGGGGGGGGCGGGAACTCACCACACAACTTCTGCCAGCCTGTGCAGCTCAGTGCAACTATGCAAGATGGACCAATGGTCTGTTAGACAGCTTCCCAAATCCAATAATGCAATCTGCAAATTGCCTATTCCTACTCCAAACTGGGACTACATTTCCTGCTTAGATAGGTAGCCCTCCTGTCTAAAAATGGATGAAAGCCCCCAGCGTCATTATGTAGTAAGTGATTCGAGGAGAAATGTTGTTACCTTAGCTCTTTGATTCTGGAACCAGACCTGAACAACTCGGACACTCAGACCCGTCTCGGCTGCTAACGTTTCCCTTACCTTCATGAAATGTCAGAACAGCAGACATGATTATTCATTTAAAACAGAGGCAAAAGGATCAGCAAAATACTAAATGTGTTGGACTCTCAACACAAATTTCAACATTTTCATAAAAGGTTTTTTTCATTGCGGCACAAAATCTCAGCGTTTGCAGATGCTCCCTAGATTTCTCACCAAAATCCAAAACCATCAGAACTGGAAGTTTTTGGAGTTTGGCAGTCGGATTTCAAGCATGTGTCTCCAAACAGGGGAGCTGTGAAAACATGCGGAATACTGATCAGCGCGGATCAAAAGTGATCACGGGAATGAAGCAACTCCCCTAGGGGGGAAATGTTGCAGCATTTGGGACTTTTTGGTTTAGAGAAAAGGCTAGTAGCAGGTGACAGGATAGAAGTTTTAAAAATTATGCATGGCATGAAGAAAGGTTTTCCTTACTGTCTCATAACACTGAATGTTGGAAGATGCAGAACAGACAAAGGAAAGCGCTTCTCCGCTCAGTACGTAAACTATGGAATTTTATCCCACAAGAGGTAGCAATGGACACCAATTGGATGGGTTTAGAGAAATGGCTATTAGCTACAATGACTATGTCCTATCCAGGGACAATATGCCTCTGAAGCGTTGCGGCTGGGGAACTGAAGTGGGCGAGGGCTTGCCACGGGCTCCTCATTGGCCATTGTGAGAACAACATGCAGGAATAGCTCAGCCTTTGGTTTGATCCAGCAGGGATCTTATGGTTTAATGTGGGATTATTATTTTTCTAAAGAACCCACAACTCTTTAGTTTTTCCCTGTAAAGGTAAAAAAGGACCCCTGGACAGTTAAGTCCAGTCAAAGGCGATTAGGAGGTTGCAGTGCTCATCTCGCTTCCAGGCCAGGGAGCATTTGCCAGCTTCCCGGGTCATGTGGCTATCATAACTAAACCGCTTCTGGCGCAACGGGACACTGTGACGGAAACCAGAGCACACGGAAATGCCATTTACCTTCCCGCCATAGCAGCACCTATTTATCTACTTGCACTGGTGTGCTTTTGAACTGCTAGGTTGGCAGGAGCTGGGACAGAGCAACGGGAGCCCACCCTGTCATGCGGTTTCGATTGGCAAGCCCAAGAGGCTCAGTGGTTTAGACCACAGTGCCACCCACATCCTCTGAACAGTAGCCACTGGGGAAATGAAGTGGGGGAGTGTGCTGTGCTGCTCAAATCCTGTTTGGGGCTTTCCATGGGCATGTGGAGTGTGAAACACAGAGCAGTCAAATGCAACATTCCTAGAGTGGACATGTTTAGACATAAAGAGGGATGTTTGTCCAGACAGTAGATAAACTTCCTGTTTCCTCCTGTGCTGGGACAAACTTCCTCTACATGTGACCAGAGTTGGGGGTGACCTTACCTGTGCAGGTAACAAAATAGCACAGGGCAGGCAGCCATCTCTCTCTCTGACTCCATTCCTCGAAGAAGCAACATCTCCTTAGCCTGAGATGCTCTCTTGGCTTCCAGCCAAGAGAGGACAAGGAACTATCTCCTTATAGGATAGATTCCATGTGTATATATTTTGTAACTTAAGTCTGCCTTCTGGGATCCATTTGTAAACAGAACATGTGAGTAAACTCTTTTTATACTTTTATACAAGACTGTGTCATGTCTATTCTTTTTAGGAGGGAATAAAAGGGGTATTACCAGGAAACTTATTTTAGAGGCTTATGCGAGCTTGGCAAACCGATCCGCTGTGTAAGTTTAAAAGGGGAATGTTACTCTGCTAAATCATAGAACTGGTTAGGAAGGATATTATTAAATAATATATCCTCTCCTGCCTCCCTGAATATTCCCACAGGGCTCCTCACTGGTCATTGTGAGAACAGGATGCAGGAATAACTAGGCCAGCAGGGAATCTTTTTTCCAAACTAAACAACCCACAATTCTTGAGTTTTCCCTGCAGGTAAGGGGCTCTCAGACTTGAGTAGGGCTGCACAACTTGCAGTCCATCAGCACGTCACCTACATACAGTGGCTCACGCCTGGATCATTAAATCTCTCTTGTCCTTTTGCTGACTGCTCAGCGAGTGATGGTCAAGTGCCTGGGACATCACAACACTTGTCTGTTGGGCTGCATTTGTTTAGTGGACCACACGCCTGAATCTGACTGCCACTGACAGAGCACAATGTCTAGGAATTATTAAGACAGGAGTCACTCTACGGCCATGGAATTCAACAACATCTGAGGCAGTGTAAACTGGCTACCTCTGGTGATTCCAGTGTTCATGGTGCCAGTTTCTTCTTATGATCAAACTGTACCTTCCTGCATGGTTTAGAAGACACTTCAAATGATGCCTTGAATGCCCGGCGCTGCTGGGTCGTCAAGATGGTCCGGGGTCGTTTCGGCCGCTTGTGGTCCTTGCTCTCCTCGGCTGCTTTCCCAGTGCCATCTCCCATTTTGCACAGGCTCCCTTCATCATCACTTTTACCTTGAAAGATTGGGGAAGGGGATAAAATCCCACACAGTGCGATTCACAAACCAGCCTTTGCTTAAAACGAAATCACCCCAAATTGAGAAGCCGCATGGAAAAGCTCCATACTAACAGGGAGATGCTCAACAATCCTTTCAAAATTTGCACAAGTAGGGCTACAAAGCTCTCAGAAGCATTTGGTAAGGAGAGGAAAGACAGTGGAGAGAAGCCAGAGGTCCTATGTTGCAATTTTTACACGAGTGTGGCTAGGGTGGTTGTAAGAAAATAACAAAGCAGTCAAAAGAGGATTATAAACTCAACTCAAATCTGGTTGCACAGCAAGTCAGCAGCCATCTCCCAGTGGCCTAAATGCCTTCCTAAAGAAGGATATTTAAACATCCTTCTGCAAACTAGAAACAAGATGGCCAGACAGGCTTCTCTGGGCAAAGGTTTCAAAGCGGGAAACCTTGCTCCAGTTGCCACTAATGGAACCTCAGACAGCCTAACCCTAACCCTAGATTCAGACCATTTCAAACTTTTAAAGTCAACAGTAACACTTGGAATTAAGCCCAGAGATTAACTGTTACCAAGTGCAGTTCTGTATGTACAGGTATCATATGGTGTTTTTAGCTAAGACCCAACCTATAGCTCAGCTCCAAATGATCTTTAAAAATGTCCCCATTGCACTGGAGAAATCTCACCTCAAGGCTCTCAAAGCATGCATCATGGCAGCCAGAATTCCACTGAAGAGTAATTAAGCAGGCTTTTCAATTAGCATGTGGACACTTCAGTTAGCCGGGACACTTTGCCTGGGAGGTGTGGAAGCTCCATTACTCTAAGTAAATGTCTGGAATAAGGTAGTCCTAATTGGCAAGGTTAGCATTCCAGTAAAATGTTTGGCACTAGAGTGTGTGCCTTCAATACTATGCCGCTTCAGGTTGCACATAGAGAGGGGCACACCATTTTTAAAAAATGTTTCCTCATATTAACAGTTCCTTGCAAACAGAAAATGAGCACAGCAACGGAGAATGGTTCTGGCCCTAAACCAAGACCCGGCTGTGAGAATTTTCAGCTTGCACGGTGCATTTAAAAATGACAACAAATCTGTGGAGTGGTAAAAGCTTTCTGGGAAATGATATATAATGAATTAAAGAAACTGTTTAAGAAAACTTTTGTTAAAAAAAACAGAAGGTTTTTTTGTTAGGTATACAGTGGTACCTCTAGTTACGAACTTAATTCGTTCCGGAGGTCTGTTCTTAACCTGAAACTGTTCTTAACTTGAGGCGTGCTTTCGCTAATGGGGACTCTTGCTGCAATGAATTTATGATTCAAGAAAATGCCTACTGAATTTTTCAAATTCTGATATACCACGTTGGACTTCAAATTATTATGTTGGCCACTCTGAAATCAATCGCATTAGAGAAGTGACGATTGATTGGTTGGTTTGTGTTTGGGGGCCAATCATTTGGGTAAGCATGAGATTCCAGAACTCAACACTGTCTCCATGCGCCTGTCTGGGCTTGTAGTTCAGTGTCTACAATGCTGCCAGATTCTTAACTAGAGCAAAACACCTCCCTGATGCTGCGTTTGCCCCTCAGCGCATTATTGCTAGGAGGCGTTCCTGTTTCTCTTTCGCAGGACGACTAGAGAAACGGGCTGATCAGAAGGAACATTTTATCATATGTGGTGGGAATGTAAGAAAGTAAAAAACTTCTGGGAAATGATATATAATGAGATGAAAAAGATGTTGAAATATACATTTCTAAAAAAAACCAGAAGCATTTTTACTTGGCATTATAGGTGAGGATATTAATAGAAAGGATGTAAAATTGTTTTTATATCCAACAACAGCGGCAAGAGTATTGTTGGCTCAGAAATGGAAACAAGAAGAAATACCGACGAAAGAAGAATGGCAGACAAAATTAATGGACTACGCAGAATTAGATAAGATGACAGGAAGGATTCGAAACCTGTGGGACCAGAGATTTACAGAAGATTGGAAGAAACATACAAACTATTTGAAGAGCAACTGTAATCAACAAATTACGCTACAAGATGTTCTGTAAGGAGAAATATATGAAATATTGCAAAGAAGAGAAAGAAGAGAGATACTAGTTATGAGATTTCAATGTAATAGTGAAAATAAGAAATGTAAATCAAATAAATAGATTGGAAAATTTTCAGATGTGATTGATGGAAGTCAAAAAAATTGTATAAGATGTTAAAGTACGTTTAATTATTGTTGAAAATGATATGTTGAAAATTAATTTTAAAATTATATACGGGAAAAAGAGAGAGAAACGGGCTGATCAAATATTTCCCACATCTGTCCATATAGGAGAATGAAATAGGGAAATGCTTTGAAATGGATGGGGAAGGGGGGAGGGAAACAGTGCAGAGAGAAGTCTGGGGGAATCCCATCCCATGAAAGAAGAGTGGCCGTGTTCCCCCGCCACCCCAGACACCTGCTCGCCAAATCCCTCCAAATGATGGAAAGTTGATTCTGCTTTAGCGTGGCAATGCTTTTAATTAACTCTGCCTTTCAAGCCTTCCTCGAACAGGGTAGGAATTAATTAATCTTTAAGACTCCTCCTGGTGTCACATGGGAAAGGACTACAGGCGGTTTATATTGTCTGCCGTGACCTCTGCGCAACCCCAAGGCTCACTGGGGGAATGATGAAGAACCGGCTTCATGTATGAAGATGAAGAAATTCTTTGGTTAGAGGGAATTAGGAAAAGGAGGGATGTTAGTACACTTTTAATTGGAAAGGGGGCTCCTCTTTCACAGGCGCCTGTTTACTTAGGCTTGGACACTGGGGCTCAAGGGAAGGAGTCATTGAACTGAGGGCTTTGCAGATTATGGGCAGCATATGGCTTCCAGTGCTTTGCTCTTTATTTTCATTTTCTCATAAAGTGGTCCTAAGTTTGCATTGTGCTCCTTGTTCCCTTATGTTTCTGACTGGGTCTTTAAAGATACATATATGCTGACTGGTCAAGTAGATGCCATAATCCCATAGCCTCACAATTAAATGTCATGGGGGAAAGTCTGTCCTTCCTCTTAGACAGAGAATCATAGAATTGTAGAGTTGGAAGGGACCACGAGGGTCATCTAGTCCAACCCCCTGCAATGCAGGAATCTTTTGCCCAGCGTGGGGCTCGAACCCACAGCCCTGAGATTAAGGGTCTAATGCTCTACTGACTGAGCTATGGAGCGCTCCACATTTATTTTGCTTTTTAGAAAACTTACATTCTGCCAGTCAACCAAACAGGTTCTCAGGCCAGCTTGTAGCAAATCAAGTTGAGAAGTTAAGCTGAGAGGGTTAGACTGCAATATAGAAAATATACTGGTGCTTTTAGTTCACATGTGAGAGCTTAATGGCCCATTCCTACTTATGACTAGACTGTACTGAAGATAGTGAGACTTATTTTTGAGTAAATGTGGTTTAGGGTTGGATTACACAACTTTGTTCTTTATCATCAGCATCTACGTAAAAAACAACAACCCCAATTCTATTCTATTCAGGCCCAAATAAACAGAACTGGACTCCTTGATTAATTGTAATTCAGCAGCTTCACACCAGAGAAGCCTTTAAAATGTCTTTGTTCAAGTATCACTACCTTAAGAGTGTGGGGTACAGCATTCCTAGAGTGGACATGTTTAGACATGAAGAAGAATGTTTGTCCAGACAGTAGATAAACTTCCTGTTTCCTCCTGTGCTGGGACAAACTTCCTCTGCATGTGACCAGAGGTGGGCGTGACTTTACCTGTGCAGGTAACAAAAGCACAGGACTGACCACCACATCTCTCTCTTCTCCATTTTGCTTTCGTTGAAGAAGCATCAGCCTGAGATACTCTCTAGGCTTCCAGCCAAGAGAGGACAAAGGAACTATCTCCCTATGGGATAGATTCCAGGTGTATATATTTTGTAACTTAAGTCTGCCTTCTGGGATCCATCTGTGAACAGAATGAGTGAGTAAACTATTTTATACTTTTATACAAACTGTGTCTCATCTATTATTTTTAAAGAGGGAATAAAAGGGGAACTACCAGGAAACTTATTTTAGTGGCTTAAGCAAGCCTGGCAAACCTATCCACTGTGTAAGTTTAAAAGGGGAATGTTACTCTGCTAAATTGTAGAACTTGTTAACACAAGTTGGGAAGGATATAATTAAACAATATATCCTCTCCTGCCTCCCTGAACATTCCCACAAAGAGTGCTCTGGTTTCTGGATGCTGCCATTTCTCATGTCAGATTTGGGTTCATTTATTCCAGAGGTAGTGAACTTTTCTGTTCTGATGGGACACCCCACACCACCGCAAGCCAACTTTGACAGGCTGGCAGGGCCACTCAGCTCTCAACCAACTGATGTCATAAGGGTGTCAGGTGATTCACAGGTAGGTCACTCACCTGCCAAAAGTAGTCCATGGGACTGGGGGGGGAGTGGCTTTAAAGCACCGTACAAGGCTTGCAAAGAGCACTGTGCAGTGCTTTTAAGCACCAATAATAAGCAGGCTTGAATTGCCTACTCATCAGCAAATGAGCAGGAAGTTCAAGTCTGCAGGCATTGGCTGTGTGCAAGTTGCGCATGAAGAACTCAGTCGCACAGCCAAACCAAGCATTCTTGAACTGATGGGTGAGGAGGTCCAAGCCTGTTTCCTGCACAGATCAGCTGCACAGAACTTGCTCTTGCAGCCAAATTATCCATGCCTCTCCCTGGCTAGCTTTGCTCCATTGGTCTATCGCATGAAGACAGGTCTGTTTCTCCATTCCTGGCAGGTGACAGCACATATCACAGTGGAAGATGAGCAAGTGAAGCAATCTGTGATGCTGTGGCTGACACTGTTAGGTCCTGTAATAGTGTTGCCCGAGTAGATATGGGAGCAAACATGGCATCTTGGTTTGTGGTGGGGTTTGGTCTCTGTGTTTGTGCCTTTGTTACGTGGTCTGTATGTGGTCCAACTACCAATGGAAAGAGTCTGAGGCTCAAGGGAGACTAGCTGTCTGCAACCAAGTACAGGTCGACTACCCAAGACCTGCAAGAGGGAAGTGTCATTGGCAAGGATTGGCTATAGACCACTGGAAGTATGTTGGAGCAACTTCGGCTTTGAGCTGTAGATGACATCAAGTTGTGCTCCATTCTCTTCTCTTCTAGGTCTGTGTAGTGTAGCAGAGATCTAGGTTTGCACAATTAAAGTGGATTAAAGCACATTTTCTTTCTTTAGGGGGAAAGAAAGGTCAGATTGTCCTTAGGAAAGGGACATGGATGGGATAGATATAAGATATATGTTCAAAAACACAGTAAAGGTTCACTATCTATGCTAGCATTCGATTGATGTTGGAGAGAGACTGAGTTGAGAAATAAGACCAAGGGTACATATTGATATAGGAATGTGTTAGATAAAATGTAAAGAAATATACAATAATAAGAGTACATCCATTTGTAAAAAAGGAATATACAACGGGATAGACAGAAAGTTCAAAGTGTTGGTGTATATATGATTCTGGAATAGATTTTTGCCCTTGTGTTTTGTTTTGTTTTCCTTTAAGTATATAAACTTTGTATACATGCTGAAAATTACAGTATAATAAGGCCTTGTGATGTAATATGATAATGTTTACTGATGTAACGTAAGAACTTTAATAAATAAATAAAACTGCAAGCAAAAAAATAAAAGGAAAGGGACATGGACAAAAAAATGTGCGATAATGATACCACCAGACAGATAAATCAAAATAAATGCTCGTTGTCACATGATCTCCTCACTAACAAATCAGAAGCAATGCTCACTAATGAGGAGAAACCACATAACCTCCACATGAAGCTTTGTGCAAGCAAATCAGGGCAAATGCTCCCTGAAAGAGGTCGTCTGGAGGAGTCCTTAAAGTCTATTGTTTTTGCATTTCATTTCCATTTGGCCTCCCTCCTTTACTTTTTCAACCACCATCTCTTTCCAATTTAGAACTACAAGACATGCATCTGATGAAATGGACTGTGGCCCTCAAAAGTTTCTGCCATAATCCATTTCTGCCACAAGACCCTTTACTGCTTTTGCCTCATTCTACTCAGTGCTCGGCGTGATATCAGAGTTGGGGCGTTGTGTTCAATTTCAGGAAATATTCCTGGAAGAAACCTGTGAATGGTACCTCTAAGGGGCAATCAGAGACGCATGACAACCTGGCAACTAGCCGTGGAATGGGCCTGAGGCTCAATAGGCCAAGTCTGGCAGTCTCGGTCTTCTGCTCCACTGAGCCCAGTCTCCTTCGCGCAGAACTGCTCTCACTTCTGAGAACTATCTGAGCAGAGCAATTGAGTCTTTTCAATCAAACCTGGCTCTTTCTCATTGCGTATCTAGTTACTTCACTCTGTTTACCACCCATCTGCCAGAAGATGGCAGCATTTTGCTGGTTTTGTTCTACGTGGCAGCTGTATTTTCTAATGTCACCTCTCTGTCAAAACTATCATTGTCAAAGCCATCACGGTGCTGTTTGTGATGTGGGTGAGTGTGTGAGAGAGCCCGGTCCGTCCTACAATCCTAACCTTTCTCTGAAAAAGGTCTCATCCCCACTCTTGGATTTACAGCTGGCAAAAGAAGAAAACTTTTCCTATGTAATTCTTACTCATTCCTGCTTTCTGCCTCTTATCTCTCTCGTTGCGCCAACCAGAGCCAAGACTCTGACATGGAGGGAGAGGAATGCCAGGAGGGCCAGCGGCAGAGACTGCACAAGTGTTAAGCCCCCAGCACCCAAGCAAACAGTCTTTCAAGCCAGAGGCTGGTACCTCTGAAGGCAGCACCCACTGAATTCAGATTCTCCCAAGGGACTGGCACCCTCAGAACCACAGGGGGTATGGAAAAGCTCAGGAGGTGCCAAGAACCTGCTGAAATTGTCTGTTCCTTGTGATCTGTCCAGGGTACTGAAGGACCAGTTGCTACCTTGTTTCCACGTTTCTTGGTTTCTGATTGGACGTGCTGTCCCTGCCCACTGCTCAGCACTGCCCGCCCCTGACCCCGACCAAAGATTTGGAAGGTGATCTTGAGATGGAGGAAGAAATCAAGGAGACGACTAAAGGATAAAGTGTTGCAACAACGAATCTCACACTGAACGGATAGATGCATGCTTGAGTCATGACAAAGAAACAAAGGAAATCGTAAGAGGCAAGAAGGCTTCCTTCGGAAAATGCGAGTCTTGACCGAATGAGAACAAAAAAGGGTACAAACTCAAGGAAAACATATAACAGCTGAAAATAAGGCAAGCAAATAAGAAAAAAATAGGAGGATATTGATAAAAACACTAAGACCAATATTAAAAAAAAATTAAATACATGAGAAGTAGTAAAGAGGTCAGGAAGACCATTGGGACATTAGATAACAAGGGACTGGCTTTGTTGATTGTGCCGCAATTTGTGGAACATCATCTGGTCACCGTATAAAAGTGAGTGTTCTCTGTAGTTGTGCCTGTCCTCTGAGATACCTTCCATCCTTGGACTCAGGAGGCATCAACCTTTGGGTGCTTCTGGCATTTATTAAAAGCTCGTTTGTTTGTTCAGGCTTCCCCCTGATTTGTAGCACTCATCCTACTGCCTTGAATGGTATGAGATACCTGTACTATTTTTGAAACTGAAATGGTTTTGAATGCATTTTTATTTACTTCTTGATAAACCGCTTCAAGATTTATTCGCAATGATAGGGGGGGGGGGGTAATTGGGCAATTCAAGACAATGCACGAGACTTGACAGAGTCCAAGATCTAGTTTAACTGAGTTTACAAAACTACCTTTGGGCTGAGGCTGGGCTGCTTCAGTTTGTGACTGTTGGGCCACAATATTTATCGCTCCTCCTTGCAAAACAATTCCCTGTGCACAGAACACTAACATGTTGGGGAGAAGGCTAAGTCAGAACTCAGACACAGTCCAGAAACAGGTTAACTGCTTGTGAGGGAACATTCTCCACAGAGTTTTTTGATGGATTAAGCAGATATGGAGTTATTTTAATCAGATACAGGTTTGTTTGTTTCCTTGTTTCCTTGCTTGCTTGTTTTAAAGTTAGGTGTGTTTTATTCTATTGCTTTTAAATATTGCTCCCTTGAGCTTCAGCTGAAGCTCAACATCAAAAAAACAAAGATCATGGCCACTGGTCCCATCACCTCCTGGCAAATAGAAGGGGAAGAAATGGAGGCAGTGAGAGATTTTACTTTCTTGGGCTCCATGATCACTGCAGATGGTGACAGCAGCCACGAAATTAAAAGGTTCCTGCTTCTTGGGAGAAAAGCAATGACAAACCTAGACAGCATCTTAAAAAGCAGAGACATAACCTTGCCAACAAAGGTCCGTATAGTTAAAGCTATGGTTTTCCCAGTAGTGATGTATGGAAGTGAGAGCTGGACCATAAAGAAGGCTGATCGCTGAAGAATTGATGCTTTTGAATTATGGTGCTGGAGGAGACTCTTGAGAGTCCCATGGACTGCAAGAAGATCAAACCTATCCATTCTGAAGGAAATCAGCCCTGAGTGCTCACTGGAAGGACAAATCGTGAAGCTGAGGCTCCAATACTTTGACCACTTCATGAGAAGAGGAGACTCCCTGGAAAAGACCCTGATGTTGGGAAAGATGGAGGGCACAAGGAGAAGGGGACGACAGAGGACGAGATGGTTAGACAGTGTTCTCAAAGCTACAAACATGAGTTTGACCAAACTGCGGGAGGCAGTGGAAGACAGGAGGGCCTGGCGTGCTCTGGTCCATGGGGTCACGAAGAGTCGGACACGACTAAACGACTAAACAACAACAACAACATTGCTCCCTTCCCCTGGGGTTGGTGTGAATCAGAAATAAATAACAGATATTTTGCAGCCCAGAGGATTTCGAATTATAAAACTAAGAGCAGATTGGGGAATGTCACCGGGGAACATTTGATACCCTGACCCCCAAATATCACAAGAGCCCTTCTGTGACAGACAGTAACCAGCAGCACCCTTAAGATCCCCTTACCAGAATCAGACGCAGTTGGGCTCACTAGGCTGAGGAGTTCGCGCTCCTTCTCATAGTCGCTCTTGCAAAGCAGCTGGTCCTCCTTCAGGACAAATTCGTCCCCCTTCTGAAGCTGCTTCTCACAGACGCAACAGCAGAAGCAGCCCACGTGGTAGACACTTTTTTGGGCTCGCATGACGAACTCGCTGGGGGCAATGGCTTCAAAGCAGCTGCTACACTTCACTGCAAAGAGTCTGCCATGCAAAAGGCCCAAAGCAGAGTGTTAGGTTTAGGCCTCGATTGGGGTGGTCAGCTCAGCAGTGGGTTTTGGAACAGACCCCATTATTCCCTTACACTGCCCCCTAAAAGTTAAGGCTATCTTGTGCTGGAAACGGAAGGCAGAAATTGCTTGTTTTTCTTTCTCTGCGATGACATTGCCCCAAGCTTGTGCTTTAATCTTGCTTTTACTGACAATTTTTTGTGTCTGTGAATTTCACTTCAGGGCCATAGCTGTCAAGCGTCCCTTATTTGGTGGGACAGTCCCTTATCCCAGCGCCATGTCCCGCTGCTGCCCCTTATTGATGATGTCCCTTAAATAAGCTACTGAAGGTAATGGGGCCCTTTCTATGTCCAGCTGTGCTTTGTCAACAACAAATTGTTGCTGTTTTTTGTGTTGAAGATATGCTATATGGTAATTTATGGACCTAATAGGTATCTAAAGCCACTTGCACGCAACAAAATATGTATTTTATCAAAGTAATTGTTGATCCCTTATCTTGGCTGCTGATCCCTTATTTTCGAGGCTGCTGGTCCCTTATTTTCAAATCTGTAAGTTGACAGCTATGTTCACCTAGGGTGCCCTCTGACTTTCTGAGGAAAATCTCACTCTAGAACACAACTTATGTTCTAGCCAAACACCCAGCAATCTGTAATGTCTGGAGGGAATATCAACCTTTGAGCTTCTTGGACCTTGTAATAGCCATGGAAACTGCAAGGTGGCACAGCCCTGAACTAGTCTGAACTAAGAACTGTGTGCTGCTCCAGATTGTGGCGGGGGCAGAAGGGGTGGGGAATGACCCAAAGTTTCTCCACTTTAAACGACACACTGCTTTCTCATAAAAGGCAAGCAGGGCTCATCTTGCAGAGACAGGGTTGCCTTTGCAAACTTTAGATTTCGAACATTCTGGCAAGTGGGCTGCACCTGTGACAGGTTGAGGCAAAATGGAGAAACAGGTGTGAGAGTAATCCCTGTGATCTACTGCTGCCCGATCACCATATAGCTTTGCCCTCCCAGCACAACAAACACACATACAGTGCATGTATTTGGCAGCTCACGAGAGCCAATGGGGGGAATCACAAACCTGCAGACTTCAGTCTCACATGCAGCAATGTGTGAAAGTGTCACAGTGGCTGAGCTCAGAAACCTGAAGAGGGCCGTAACATGTCTACCCAGAAGCAAAAGCTTGCAGCAAAGAATGGAGTTCATGACTGGCTGTTGTACATGTACTGATCACATTGCAGAAATTATTATGAAGTATAAATAAAGAGCACAAAAAAGTTCTTAGAATACACTGCTTGCCTTCCAGTTAGATCTTGGATTTATCCAGACCTGGGCACCTAAACACTGGTTGCCGTAAATCTCTGTTGACTTAAAACACTTCCCTGCCACCTGAAATATCGCACATGATCTTGTACGGGATTGCCAGCCTAAGATCAACTGATGAAAGACCTACAACTAGTTTAAGACTCAAAAAACTTGAATTCTTGACATGGTTTAAGGTTGCCATGGCGAGAGAGCAGGGCTCTTGTTTCTTTAACAGCTGTGTGGCTGGCAGAAATTCAACTGGCTGGCCCTTTTTCTAGATTTCGTTTATGGGTTCGCCTGTAGACATGCTGTGCCTATCAATCATATTGCTCATGCTCAGCTCCTGGTTGATCCCCTCCAGCCCATGAGTCAACGACCCTTTATGGGGACCTTTTATGGGGTGGGCAGTGGGGGCGGCTTCCTATCCCTGCCTTATGCTTACTGAAACCAAGAGGGTCCAAATGGGGATTAGAGGGGATCCCACCTGGTTACGGGATGCGGGTGGCGCTGTGGGTTAAACCACAGAGCCTACGACTTGATCAGAAGGTCGCGGTTCGAATCCCCGCAACGGGGTGAGCTCCTGTTGCTCGGTCCCTGCTCCTGCCAACCTAGCAGTTCAAAAGCACATCAAAGTGCAAGTAGATAAATAGGTACTGCTCTGGTGGGAAGGTAAACAGCGTTTCCGTGCGCTGCTCTGGTTCGCCAGAAGCGGCTTAGTCATGCTGTACACCGGCTCCCTCGGCCAATAAAGCGGGATGAGCGCCGCAACCCCAGAGTCGGTCACAACTGGACCTAATGGTCAGGGGCCCCTTTACCCTTTACCTTTTACACCTGATTATGGCCTTCTCCACTATGGTGAAGTGTATATTTTTCTTTTAATATTTCTAATTTTGCATCTATAAACACAGTATAAATAAGCATATACAAATTTTCAAGCAAATTGTGCCCTGTTTTGTGGATCCAATCCACATACAGTGAACATACACAGAAAAAGTAAAAGGCAAAGGACCCCTGGACGGTTAAGTCCAGTCAAAGGCGACTATGGGGTTGTGGCGCTCATCTCGCTTTCAGGCTGATGGAGCCGGCGTTTGTCCACAGACAGCTTTCCAGGTCATGTGGCCAGCAGGACTAAACCGCTTCTGGTGCAATGGGACACTGTGACAGAAACCAGAGCGCATGAAAATGCCATTTACCTTCCCGCCACAGTGGTACCTATTTATCTACTTGCACTGGCGTGCTTTTGAACTACTAGGTTGGCAGAGGCTGGGACGGAGCAACGGGCGCTCACTCCATCAGGGGGGTTCAAACCGCCAACCTTCCAATCGGCAAGCCCAAGAGGCTCAGTGGTTTACACCACAGCGCCACCCACATTCCATCTTGCTGGCATCCCTGGTGTCCAGGGAGGAAGTTTACTACCTCATCTGCTGTTTGAATGAACTAGGCCTAGCCCTAGGGTTTTTGCTCCAGAACGCAGAAGCTGCTGTGACAAATCTTCACACTGGGAGCCAGTGTGGTGCAGTGTGGTGTAGAGCGGTAGATTCGTAATCTGGGGAACAGGGTTCGCGTCTCCGCTCCTCCACATGCAGTTGCTGGGTGACCTTGGGCCAGTCATACTTCTCTGAAGTCTCTCAGCCCCACTCACCTCACAGAGTGTTTGTTGTGGGGGAGGAAGGGAAAGGAGAATGTTAGCCGCTTTGAGACTCCATCGGGTAGTGATAAAGCGGGATATCAAATCTAAACTACTCCTCCTCCTCCTCCTCCTCTTCTTCTTCTTCTTCACACCCAAGATGCCCATTTCAAAGGTCAATTCATGTCTCTTTATCTCAATTATTTGGATCTCTTTTGAGATTTCCTAAGCAATCCTATCAGTGGCCATTACGGCAAAACTCTGCAAGAGCTAGGCTTGTTTAGCTAGAGATATGACAGCTTTACTGTAGACCAGGGGTGGCCAACTTCCAAGAGACTGTGATCTACTCACAGAGTTAAAAACTGGCAGTGATCTACCCCCTTTTTTGGGTTCAAGTCACAGTTGTTAAGCTTTTTTTAGGAAGGAAAACCCTATTTTGGGGGGTTCGGGTCAAGGTTGTTGAGCTTTTTATACCAGAGACGTCCAGTGATCTACCAGTAGATCACAATCAACCTGTTGGACATGTCTGCTCTATTGCTGGACATGAGATGCCCAGTCAAAATAAAGCTGCTCAGCTCTTGTGAGAGTAAATGTGAGTTTTGCTAAACCTTAATGACAAAGGTACCTCAGTTCCAAGGTCTCATGGCTCCAATCGTGGTATCTCTGTCTCCAAATACCAAACAGTATCAGGTTCCCAGATGGGTTAAGCTAAGGTTACCAGATGTTTTTCAATGAATCCGGGGACACTTTAAAAAAATAAATAAATACTACATGTTCGGGACGTTGATGCTGCAGTTATGATGGTGGCAGAGGGGCCGCCACTCCCTTGACCTCAACCGCCACGTTTCCCCTTTCTCCGAGGCTTAAATCTCCTTTCTCCATGAGCCTGGGCAGCCCCATAGTTGTTGGTTCTTCGGTGGTAGTGGTGGGGAAGCAGTGCGCGATGGATCAGGCATGGAAGGCAGAGAAGAAGGGCCGAGAGCGGTCATGGTGGTGAGGCTCAGGCAGCGCGATGCCTCCCTTCCCATCGGAGCAGCCCCAATCCCATTCCTACTTCTGTGCAAGCAGGAGGGGGCGGGATCCCTCAGCTGGGAAGGGAGGCTTCCTGTTACCTAACTGAGAGTTCCCTGCCCCCTCTTGCTTGCACACAAGCTCAGATAGGCAGTGTGAAGCCTCCCTTCACAGCTTAGTTGCTGGGGTCAGGGAAGGTGGAGGAAGCCCGGAAGCTGCATCTTCAAGCCCCTGCACCACCATCGTATGGGGACTTCCGAGCAGCTCCTGAAGCCAGCCAGAGCCAACTGCTCTGGGCTGCTGAGACTGCCACTGCTGTGTTTCCCAGGGACATTAGATGAAATCCGGGGACATTCCGGGGATGGAATTTGTCCAGGGACTTATTCGCAAATCCGGGGACTGTCCCCGGGAAACGGGGACGTCTGGTAACCCTATGTTAAGCTACGCCACAGGTGCTACATTATATGAAAGGCAGGGATCCAACATGGAATGCCATACATAAATCTAATTGCAGGTCATCACAACAAAGACCAGATGAAAGACCAGATACGTAATAATTCTGCAGATATCCAAAACTATTGTAACGGGAGCATAAAAAGGTAAAGGACCCCTGACCATTAGGTCCAGTCGTGACCGACTCTGGGGTTGCGGCGCTCATCTCGCTTTATTGGCCGAGGGAGCCGGCGTACAGCTTCCGGGTCATGTGGCCAGCATGACTAAGCCGCTTCTGGCGAACCAAAGCAGTGCACGGAAACACCGTTTACCTTCCCGCCGGAGTGTTACCTATTTATCTACTTGCACTTTCACATGCTTTTGAACTGCTAGGTTGGCAGGAGCAGGGACCGAGCAACGGGACTCACCCCGTCGCGGGGGTTCGAACCGCCGACCTTCTGATTGGCAAGTCCTAGGCTCTGTGGTTTAACCCACAGTGCCACCCGCGTCCAACGGGAGCATAATTTATTGTAATTATTGTAAGCTCTTTTCTTCCTGATGATTATTAGTGTTGAGCTGAACATAGCATGCACAAACTT